CTTCCTGAAGTCTAGGAAAACTATATCCACTGTCACCCCTGCATCCAATGATTTAGTGACCTGGTCGTAAAAGGCCACCAGGTTGGTCTGACAGGACCTGCTGCTGATGAACCCATGCTGGTTGCCCCTGCAAATGGGAGAGAAAATTCAAATCCAGGGGGCGACAATGGAAAAGCAACACCAGCTAAGTTAAAAGAAGTGAGGGAGGACTGTTTGAGCAGGGTAGAAGCGACTGGCCTGGCCTGGTTCCCAATTTCCAACCCCACCGCTCACACATCACATTCATGGCCATAGCGTGTGGGTCCTGCATAATGGGCTTCATACCCTACACAAAATGTAGGCCTCTGCACATCCATGCACATGCTGCCTCTCTTTTGCACAACAGAATGCCTCCCTCTTATACCACATCAAGGGAGGGAGGAAGAAAACCCAGCAATTCTGATTTCCACTCTAGCTCCTTGATAACCTTCAGTCCCTTGGGTAGACAGTCCTTTAGCTGCTGTGCATGTATAGCATCACTGCCATCTTCAGGACACATTGTTGAACTGGGAACTGCTCCAGTTTGGAGAGTCTTATAAGGTCCTTTTGACTGGTGGGGATGCTTTGGTGCTCTTTTAAAATTCACTTATTCAGACCAGCCATGTAAACTCTCCTGGGGGAAGTTTGGGGTGAGGAGTACACAAGTACTCTGAGAGATGTGGATGTGGTGAATTTGCAGGTGTGGATCTAAGGTTACTTTCAATTGAATCTGCTAATGCCAATGCATGTGTAGTTTTACTTGAAGTTTACTGTATATTCTCACTCGCTCCTACGCTGGGGGTCTTCAGAAGGAGGCTAGACAATCACCTAGCTGGGGTCGTTTGACTCCAGCATGCTTTCCTGCCCATGGCAGGGGGTCAGACTTGATGTTCTACTCAGGTCCCTTCCAACCCGACCAACTATGAAACTATGAAACAACTATTCTGCTCCTGCCAGCCTGTCCTCAGTCTTTCCCACCCTTGTGGCTGGAGTCATTTATATATGAAGGCCCTGGGACAAACATAGCATATACCTGTGAGGCACATATGTTCATATGTACATACCTCGAGTAGCTTGATTTTCATATCTGGTCGAACTCGGATACTTTGCAGAGTTAGGTGCCTTACCCACCTGTGAAGAGGGGTTGTGAACTAGGTAGGGATATACACACAGCTGTTTTCTGTGATTATAGATTCATCTATATATAGTCGCAGCAAACAGCTGTTTTGACCACCAAGGTGCTCCAGGCGCTTCCTGTGGCTTCTGTTTCAAAGGGCACTGCTTCTCTGCCCAGCTGCGTGGAAGCAATGATGACCAGCACGCTTGGGAATAACAACTCTCAGCAAACACCTGAGCAACTCATCTTTCACTGCAAGCGAAGTGGCTTGTGAACCACCCAGATACAAATGATCTGGGTTTTACTATATTTCCTAAGAAAAATTTTCCTCGTCTTCAGTTAGGAAGCAGGGTAAAGCCCCTTAGATTCTTTCACAAATAAAAGAAGGCAACAAGGTAAATTCTGCCTTTTAAACTTCCTTTCTCTCCTCCTTAAACAGAAAGAATAAAAATGACATAAGCAAACTCATCTTCAAGAGTGGGGATTTCCAAATGTCACCATACGCTGAGTACCCCAAGAACCCCCGAGGACCAGAGTGGGGAAGAGAGACAATAGAAATGCAAGAGAATGGAAGCACGAAGAACCTGTTGCAGATGACAGACGTCTATTATTCGGTATCTGGAACTGCGTTGTGTAGCCATTGTGTGTAAATAAAAGAATAAAGCAAGTGCCTTAGGTCATGAATAGAGTGTGGGAAGCTTGGTGGGGAAAGGATATAATCCTGTGAATCATTACTCCTGTAAATAAACCCTATAAAGTGAATGAGTTTATCACATGAGTAAAGGTAACAGGATCAGGCACATCTTCTGGAATGTCTTTCCGTGGAGAGAATTTAGAGGGCAGAGAGCAAGATTTGTTTTGATTTGCATTTTTTGGCCAAATGACCTTTTCCCAGTGCCTGTTTATTGAGTCAGATACAATTAAGGGAAATAACCCAAGTGAAGGGTAGAGACTTAGAAATTAAGAGGGGTTTCACAGACTTTTCTGAAAATTCTCTTTATGCCCAATGACCAGGAAAGGGAGTTTTGACAAGGTGGGTGAAACCAATTTTTCATAAGTGCATTGTACAGTAACAAAGAGTCTCACAACAGGATCAAACAATGGTTTAATGCTACTCGATGGGCATGTCTACACATGAATATTAATGTGATGAAGTAAACTAGTGCAGTTTGCTCTGGAGTTTATTGCTCCTAGGTGCAGCGTTTACACATGTGCCCAGGGCCACAATGTGTTGAGCTAGGGTAGCTCAGCCTTGGCTGGCAGGGAGCCCCAGGAGTCAGCCTACTAGCCCGAAGCTGCTCCGACCCAGCTCAGTGTGCTGCGGGAAGGGCTGGCTGGAGCACACGGGTAGAGGGCTCATGTCCCAGCCAGCCTGGTCACTGTCTACACGTGCATTGTGGTGAAGTAAATAACTCCACTGTGGGGTAGCACTTGTATTGGGTAGCACTAACCCACAGCCAAGTGAATTAGTTTATTCTGGCCTTATAGCTCCACACGTGTAGATAGAGATGCTTTACTGCAGAGCTAAGTAGGTAACTCCACAGTAAGTGTCTCATGTAGATGGCCCCAGAATGGGGAAATATCACAAAATCCACATTGTAGAAAACAAAGATCCTGTTAGGCCCCGGTAGGTAAAGTAGTGTACTTACAAAGGAGATTATCTGGTCCCATTACCTGTGACAACAGCGGACTAGATCTGATGATCCAGGAGGCTTCTCTGGTCCTGTGTTTCTGTGAAAGTTCAGCTGCTGCCATCTTCCTGGGCAGACAAAATAAGGCAGCCCCACAGCTTATTGTGTAGATGTGTTTGTCTTCTTCATGTGCACAGCCCTTCCCTTTGCAGCAGCTTTCTTTGGTTGTGGAAGTGTTTCCCAAACTTCACCTATGTTCCTAAATTCTCTTCTGTCTTAATTACTTGATGCAAATGCTACTTAAAACAATTAAAACTAGACCGGATCAAAAAAACCCAAACCTAGAAAAATCACAGTCATTGAAGTTATGCAATGGTAGGGGATGCTGATTTAGAGATCCTTATAAGGGCCATGACGATATTTGTAGCACCTGAAAAGACTGTACCATATATTTGCATAACATTTATGCAGAGGTCTACAGCCAATGTAAATCAGCCTGTCTCCATTGAGTTCAGTTGAGCTATGCCAGAGTAGACCAGCTTGAGTGTCAAAACTTAAGGACGTTTATACATGTGCTTTGGGGCAGGGGGAAGGTGCTTTAGTTAAAACAGCTCCAAGAGCCATGCTAATTAAAGGACCCTAGCATCTTGTGTATCAGCGTCCTTGCACTTACAAAAGGTGGCTA